GGGCGGGGGGCGGCCGGGGAGCTGGGCGCGGCGCTCCGCCGTGGCGGCTGCGAGGCCCTCGGCCTCTTGAATGCCGGGGGGACGGGTGGAATCGGCGGGATCCTGGCTGGGGTGGTGCAGAGCCCCGGCGGGTCCTCCTCTCCCGGGCCCCCTTGCTCTCTCCACCCTGGCGGGTGGAACTCCCCGCGGCCGGGCAGTGCTTCGCTTCACTCTCACGCCTCAGTGTCACCCCGCAGGGAGCCCTGCAACGATTTTCAGGTGGCAGATCGCGTGTAAACCCTGCTCTTTGAAGTTTAGCTCAGCCTGCTGAAGATGAAGGGGCATTCGCATCAAGAAAATACCCCTCTCCCCGCGACCCTCCCCCCCGGAAAACCCTTCCTACGAGGTGGTTCCACATTTGGTGAAATCTGTGCTTTGGTGGGGCCTCTGTAGGATTGAAGTCTTTCCTGTTAACTTCCTATGGCGACTCACTAAAGTGTTAAAAGGAGCACTGATTATATTTACCCTACACACGGGAACAGGCTGCTGAGGATGCTTGGATTTTATTGTTGTGGGGCCATGGAAACCACCAAGTTGGGTGGAAAGATTTGCTCCAGTAGTAGGTAGGGCTGATACTCGAGTGAGTGGTGAAAACCGCTGTGAAAGGATTGAAAGGGTCACACCAGACAACAGGATTCTCTCTCTGCTGCCGTGGTTTCTGATGAATGAGATTTGCAGGTGCACGCCAGGCTTTTATATGTTCTTAGTACTGTTCTTTTGGTGAAAGGCGTGGAGGTCTTCTCCGTTTGTTTCAAGGGGAAGAAAATAAAAAGAGTAAACCAGGGTTTTGACTGAGGGAAGCTGTAGGAAAATACAGTTTCAGATTTTTAGATCCCTGAGTTAGGGTTTCCTTTTGTTTGCATGTTTTCCTCCCACACTCTATAGGTGTTTAGGTAGATGAAAGATTTCTCAGAATCTTTCTTGGCACTTGGAGCAGTTGCTTTTATTTTTTAATAGCAGTTATCATACAAAAGAAATATTGAACAAACCTGTTTTCAGTAAGCTTCTGTTTCATTGGCTTAATGACTGCAGAAAAAATGGTGGGTTTTTTTTTCTCCATTACTAATAGGTTGAGAAGCAGCAAACTTGGCATGATTAAGAGTAATAATGATCTGAGTCATTTTACAAGTAAACTGTGAAATAACTTTGCATTTTAAAGACCTGGGTGGCTTTCTTCACCCTCCTGCCCCCAGCTTAAATCTTTCTCAGTTAATACTGCTTGCTGAAGTTTCTACATTAATAAAAAATACTGTATTTTGAGGCGCTCCGTGTATTTTTAGTGTATCAGGCACAGAAGAGACACATAACTTGATGTCAAACCTTGTAGACACCACTCCTTTCGTGAATTGAATGTGCTTGAGACAAGTGTGATGTAAAAGGATTAAAAACTTATTTTTCTGTAGTTTTTGCACTGCTACTCTGGTACATTTTCTCAGTGCATTGCTGCGTGATTCTTAGTTTGAGCCAGCCATCTATGTATAAAGCAATTGAAAAATGAATCCTCTCAGGGTGGTGTTTTCCCTTTAATTAGATGACTATTAGAGGGAGATGGACTAGGGTAAAGGTCCCTGGAGCAGGCTTTTGTTTATATCCAGAAGAGAACAGTTTCTTAGCCTTAGCACAGTTGGCATTTGGGGCTGGATAAATCTTTGTCGTGCAGCCTGTCTTGTGCGTGGTAGTAAGTCCAGCAGGACCTTTGACCTCCAGCCACGAAATGCTAGTAACAGCCCCCAAACTGTGACCCTTGGAAATACGTCTAGATACTGGCTAAACTTCACTCTGCAGATGAAATTTAACCTTGGCTGGGACCCACTGTTGGAGATAAACAATTAAATACAGTTGAATGTGTAACATAGAACCAAAAGTTGAATCTCTACAGCCATCTCTAGTGAGTCCTGAGAAAGGTGTAGCAGAGTCCTGATTTTCAGAAAGGAATTATGGAATTTTTATTCCTTCACATGAATAGCCTTAGAACGATTTCTGAATCATGAAAAAAAAATCTGTAGGTAACTAAATTCCTTCAGCTGTCATTTCTAGCAGTGGTCTTCAGCTTTTCCTTACCTCTCTTCCTGTGTGAAAACCCTCTCTGCCTCTGTCTTGTTGGCCCAGCATGCTTCCTCTGTCCTCCTCCCCATGCTACCCTTTTGCCCAGACTTCCAACATTCCAGCTCCTATAAACTGAATGCTGGCTTATTTCATAAATCTTAATTCTTGGAATGTTTGACAACTTTTTTTCCCCTAATGTGACTTCAGCGGTGAATTGTGACCTTTGGCTTTTTTTTTTGGAAGTTAAAGCGCATGGGTAAGCAGCTCAGGGAAATGATTCCACCTAAAACATGGCAGCTAAATAAACTGGACACGTAAAATGGTTTCTAGGTAACCTGTCATGTGCGGCATGTCCATTTGCATCAGGCCTTCTTCCTTATCAATGATGTTATTTTTCTTACCAAATGATTTTTTTTTCCATTTAAGGCAGAAAGTCTCTAAAGTACATTTAGGACATTTTATTAAATAATTTACATTATATTGCATTTGGTTTTTTCATAAGGCATATACTGTATTTTTTAGACATCTGAGATGGGAGATTCAGGTGTGACGTTTGTACATTATTAATAAAGGTTTTGGTGCTGAGTGACTATATGATTTAAGTCAGAGGTATTTTACTATCATTAGGAACAGTGAATTAGGCCTCAAAAAGAGAGGATATAGTCTAGCAGTTGACTCTAAGAAAATTAGATTGGGGTTTGGAGTGGTTTAATTCATCTAGGTTTAGTGTCAGGCCTTAATATTAGAACCCTAAATGGAGAAGCAATGTAATGAATTAGTAGTAATGAAAGTTCCCTTTAATTGTTTACAGGAGTAAATATCTTTTAGTGACATATCTTTGAAAATATTTTATTACCTTTTTAAGGGCAGTATCATTAGGCCGAGTTTGCATTTTAGTTAGTTTATAGTGTACTACTAGTACTTATTCAGTGTTATTTTGTTATGTATTTGGAAACTGTTAGGGTTTAGATTATATGAAAGTTTTCATGAATTAATTGTTCCTTAACCATTTCACTCCAAAGCTTTGGGCTTTATTCTCCTTTATTTCACTTCATTATTCTTCCTTCCATTCCAGTCATCCCCACAAACAAAAATCCACACCCTTATCTCCTTTTTAAGCATGGTTTAAATATTACAGATTTGGGTAAAAATGGGGTGAGGAATTGGACCTCTTGTCTGGTGGATATTTTTCTATTTCTGCCGCCAACCAGTTGGGATATATCATTGATCTTTACTCCTTTTGAACTTGCTCTGTGACTTCCCTAGTTGAGAAATGTTGGCATGGCCGGACTTCTGTTTTTTGCATTGCTTTCCCTATTTCCATAGAATTGGCTCAGAATCTTAGATTTGGAAAAGCCCATTTCCTTGGACAAATGGCTCTGATACTTCAACATGGATTGTGTATTTCTCCCTTAATGGTTTATCCTATAATAATAGTTACTTTAGTAGAAGCCACAGGTGGTATAAAGGTATACTTTGAAAGTGCTTATTTTTTTGTATCTTCTATTTTCAACACTTCCTTTCATATTTGAGGCCACCTCTGCCTTTGGCAGCCTGGGTTCACTAGGCTTTCCTGCTTGTCTTTCCCTCTTCTTTACTTTCTGCCATGGGTATTGTGCTATTTTCTTGTTCCTTTGGTAGCCCATACCCTACAGAATAAAATCTTTCCTTTGGACCTGACTTCCCTCTATGCTTGTACTCTTTTCCCAGAACACCCTTCTCTGCCAAGTAGAAACAGCTGGCATATGTTAACGTGTATTTGTACTTGGTGTCTGGTGTTAGCCTGTTTTCCTGTTGCTGTGAGTGCTTTTGTGGGCAGAGTCTTTGTAAGTTGTCTTCGTATTCCTAACAGGAATACGTTGTCATGTGTAAAATGAGTTCTCAGTTATATGAAACTTATCCTCCGCCATTTTCGTTGTCAGTGGGAATAAATAACTATCTATTCAAATACTGTAAACAGCAAAAAAGACTAGTGAAAGTGTGTGATGACCAAAATAGACACAAGGCATAGAAAATTAAATTGTTTGTCTTAAGAATATTTGTTTCCTATTGTAAGAGTTTTTCCTAATTGTTATATTACTGGGTAAGTTGGAGTTGAGAAAATGATGATGGATACTTGTTTTCTATGTTACGGCTATGGTATTTCTTAAAAAATGTTTTTGTAAAGATCAATCTCATTTTCTAATTTTTATTTTGGCCTATTTATCATAAATGAAGAGTATGAGTCTTGTTAAATTTATCAATGATAGGAAGTATAATGCCTAGCTTATAGAATTTTGCAGATGTTATTTATATGTGAAAAAGATTGCTATAATTTAATTAAAAATTGAGTATCCAGCCACAATCTTAATTTTTATTTTGTTATGCATTTCTCACTGCCTTGGAAAATTTAAGATGAAGCAAATTTATGTGGGAAGACTTGAATATGTTGGTTCCATTTCTAGGTCACATATTTCTTGGCCACGTGTTCTGGTATGCAGTTACCCAATGTGGGACTACCTCGAGTATGACACTGGTTAAGTTTAGATCCCGGATGGCATTTGAGTCTTATGAGACTACCTCGAGTATGACACTGGTTAAGTTTAGATCCCGGATGGCATTTGAGTCTTATGAACTAAGGTCAGCTTGTAGTGCTTAGGCTACTTTCTGTCATAACTTGTTAAATGCTAATTAAAAATGTTAACATAAAAAGGGCAAAAATAATTTTAAAATGAATGCGTATTACCATAAACTTAGTGGCATAATTTATTATTGTATAGTTTCGAGGGCAGAAGTCAAAAAAAGGTTTACATTGGGCTAAAGTCAGTGTGGAGGTTCTCTGGGAGAATCCATTCCTTCGGCAGCGGTGGCTTCTTCTTCTTTTGAAGATCGAGATTCAAGCTGTCTCTCTGGATGGAGTGCTGTGGCATCACAGCTCACAGCAACCTCAAACTCTTGGGCTTAAGCGATTCTCTTGCCTCAGCCTCCCAAGTAACTGGGACTACAGGCTCCCACCACAACGCCTGGCCATTTTTTGGTTGTAGTTGTCATTGTTGTTTGGCGGGCCTGGGCTAGGTTTGAACCCTCCAGCTTCCTGTATGTGGCTAGTGCCCTAGCTGCTGAGCTACAGGCACTGCGCCTCCTTTATCTTTTTCAACCTTCATCTAGAGGCAACTTACTTGGATTCGTTCCTGGTACCTTTTCCAAAATCTTTAATGCCAACATGGCTGGTGACATCACTTTCTTGCATCCCTTTTTAACTTACAAGGACCCTTTGATTACAGTACTGGGCACACCCACATAAACCACATAACGGTCTCATCTCAAGATCCTTAACTTAATTACATCTGCAGCGTCCCTCCCCACCCCACCACCTCCATGTAAGGTGATGTATTTGCAAGTTCCAAGGATTGGGACAGATGTATCTTCGGACACTTATATTCTGCCTACCACAGTGGACCCTCTGGCTCCCAAAGATTTAAGTCTGTCCTGCATATACAATGCATTCACTCCCTCTCAGAATCTCCAAAAGTCTCAACCCATTACAGCAACTGCTCAAATCCCAAAATCTCATTCAAAGATTGTGATCTAGGAATGGGTAAGATTCTGAGCATAGTCCTTATGAGGACAAAATTCTTCTCTATTTGTGGACC